GCGTGAGCTGCCCGGTGGTCACCTTGGTGATGATATACTGCTGGTTCCACGGACGACCCGTGCCCGGGTTGACCAGGTCCGAGTACGGCACGTTGTGCGTCGAAAACTCGGACAGAATCACACCTACAAATAATATAGATGTGAGACCTAGCCCTATACCGAACCCTAGTCCTCAACGACCGAGCGACGTACCGAACGAGTAAATGTCGGCCGCGACCGTGTACTCGGTGCCAATGATGATCTCGGGCGCCATCCACTGGTAGGTGCCGACGCCGTTGGTCAGCGTCGACTCGTCAATCTCGCGCGACGAGCCAAAGTCGGTGAGCTTGGTGCCCTACATGTCACACGAATAAGATTGTCATTCTTAGTGCCAGAAGATAATAGTCGAGATTGTACCTTCTTCGAGTCGAGGAGGACGTTGCGGGACTTGAGGTCGCGGTGGATGATCGGTGGGCTGAACGTGTGGAGGTAGACGAGGCCGCGGACGATGCTCACAATGGACTTGAGCTTTTGGTCCCAGCTAAACGACGCCGGCGAGTTGGTCGCGAGGTAGTTGCGCAGATCGCCGAGGTCCATGTACTCGACGACGCACTCCATTTCGATCGGACGGCGCCAGCTCGCGCCAACAAACTTGACGATAAAATCGCTGTTCATTCTAAAATGTCATGGCGTCATAGGTCAACTTGGTCATCCAAATAGAGACGAGAAATATACCGCGAGAGTAGCTTGATCTCTTCGATGAACTGAAAGACACTGGCGGGCGACTGGTCCTTGAGCTTCTTGATCGCGACCTTTTCGTTGCCGTGCTGGCCGAGCCACACCTCGCCGTACGCCCCGGACGAGATCGGGCGCTCGGAAATGACTGTCAGATCTGCGAGCTCGAGCTTGTGGGGCCGGAGCGGCGCGACGTCGAGGAAGATGTCGCCCTCGGACATGATCGAGGTCGCTGTCGGGAGACTGCCGCTCGATGCAACGTGGCCGCCCGAGCCACCTGTAGACGTACGTGGCGGAACAAACGGGCCAGAGCCGCCGGTCGGAATCGCGTAGTTGGAGCTGCGACTGCTCGCAACGCACGTCGGCGCATACTGGCTCGGTGCCGGCGCCGGCGCGGGCTGCTTGGGCGGCACGTACAACGGCGGCTCGGGCGACTGGTACTGGTAGGGCTCGGCCTCCATCGGCTGGTACACGTACGCCTGCGTCGTCGGCGGCGCGTAGTGGTACTCGGCGGTCACCGGGGGCGTCTTGTCGGACTGGTGGCGTCGAATTAGCAGGACAACGAGCACGACGATGACGAGGCCACCAATGATGAGCCCGACGATGAGGCCCGTATCTACGCAAGATGAAGTTTAAAGCCGGGTCCTGTAAAGGCAACCAAGTGCCTACTGGCGTCAGAGGGCGGGTCCTTGTCCTTGCCAGACGCCTGCGACCCGCTGGACGGACTAGGCACCTTGGTGATGGGTGCCTTGGTGACGGGTGCCGGTGCACTCGACGGGTCGACACTGGAAGCCCCTACGACCGCGTGAATACATTGAGAGAAACGAAATCCACCCACCTGGACTCGCAACGCAGACGCTGATCGTGTACGACGCCGACGATGCCCAGAGCGACCGAATCTGTCCGTTGATGGCCGCGCAGGCCGACGAGCTCGTCAAGATGCTGCGTGTGACGACAAACCCGGCGTAGTTGTCGGTATCGCCGTCCCATTTCTTCAACGCGTTCAACGCTGCGTACGTCTGTGGCGTCACGGTAAAGTTGGAGATCGGGCAGTCTTTGATCTCGCTACAACAAAAGTCATGAGTCGCGGGTCCGATATCCATGGTGTACAAGAAGGCGAGCTGCGGTGAAAGCTCGACAAAGGCAAAGGTCACGAGCGGGTTGAAGCCGAGACGCCTGCATCAAGTCAGTTCGCATCCTCCGCTGCGACAAGGACGTACACGAAAGTGACGGTCGACCAGTCCATGTTGCTCACTTCCGTCAGCTCGTTGTTGTAGAAATTCCTAGATCAAACAGAATTTTAAAATCCAACGACCAATCAAAAACGGCAAATCCATACAGCAATGTCGGCGACGGCGGAAGGCCTGCCAGCGTCATGAGCGAGTTGCCCCCAAATGCGCTAGAGCGTGGCATGAGACAACGAGGAAGTACCGACTGGCTACGTACAGCACACGGACGCTCGAGGGGATGCCAGACGGAAGCCGCATGAAAGCGTTG